ATGGTTTCTTAAACCTTTTGCACAGTCAAGAGTTGGACACCGGCCCGCAACGACAAGACAAAGCTGAAGTTGAAAGCGTAATGATGAAGTATATACCTAGAATATGATTTTGATCCTGGTCCGAAGTTCATGCGACGAAGCGCGACCGAGCTCACGGCACCTTTACACTCTCATCCGATCACTGATTCATTGCCACCCTTTGTCAGTACTTATCTTGTTATGTTTTAATGCAGCAGGAATACTGACAATAGTTTTTTTATCAGTAATACGCATTGATTCATTTAAGTCCCGAACCTCATCGCCTTTCTTTTGTGAAACACTGTAGAGGCTTTGGCGAAACCATGCATATCCCTCAACTACAAAATATACAGTGATATCAAAATTTCAGAAAAAGAGATGCATGGGTTCGCCAGCACCTCAGGTCTGTTCGAGGTTACGCCAGCACCAGAAACAGTAAAAAATAGTTGAAGGTTTTAAAGCAAAATTTGCATTGACGAAATGACGAGTAGGTGTGCATGTCTTGCAAGATAACATTTTAAAACGTGTTCTGTGACAAATTCGTATTAACCACTACCACTGGGAAAATTGGTCCAGCCGGGACATCAACTTTTGACACTGATCATGATTCAAAATTGCATCTTCCAAGAAGTGCAAGTGAATCTTGCAATAGACCATTTCAGTTACGGTGGCAAGAAGAAGAAAAGAATAACCGAAACAGGAAACAGTTGGGCGAAGGGCGAAGTGGGGTAGGCACTTAGAAGGCAGCGCTTTTCCGGTTTGTTATTCTTTTGTTCTTTTTATCACCTAACCTATAATGGTCTTTTGGTAAACTGTTGCCCATTTTCAGTGCATATGTACTTGGCCGATGTTGTCTTCTCAAGAAACTAATATATTTTCGTATCTTGTTTTCTTCCAGGAATAACTGACAGGCCAGCATTCCCGTACCGGCCACTGCATTTTTTAGCCCGCCCTTCTGCTTTCAAAAAAGCATTAAAGCGGGCTTATGCAACCGCTCTCGTGTCTGTCTGTCTGTCCGTCCGTCCGTCGTCCGTGTAAGAGGAAGGAGATGAGCTAGAGGTCTACAAATTTCAGGGTATCTTAGGGGTCACTCCTGGACAACGAAACGCTTGGTGCAAATCCTGGCAACCACCCCTAAGGGGGTGAAAGGGGGTAACAAAGAAATAGGGGTTGGTCCAAAAAGTAGAAAATCAAATATTTTTTTATGGTCTCCTAAGGGGTAACTTGTGAAAGTAGAGCCCTTTGGGCGAAAATTTTGTCCGTTTAACTCTGTCTTGCACCGTTTGGGCGCTAGAGTGCTTTTTCCGACGAAAATACGGCGAAAATGACCACGTTGCACATAAAGACGTACAAGGAGGCGTCCAGTCGAAAAATGTCCGAGGAAGTACCCCCCCAAAATAACACATTCTGAATCGGAAACGACCCTCGAATTTGCCGTATCTTTCACTGTTTCGGCCACAGAGGTGGATACATTGAAAACAATGGCAAAAAGACAAGTTATAAGACTCTTTGACAAACAATATACAATCTAAAAACTGCGCGGGTTCTTTTTTTTTTTTTCTAAGCAAAGAAGAAGGGTGAGGTGTACCCGTTACAGTCTTTTGTCATTTCCAAGGAGGAAATCTCTAGGGCCGCAGGCCCCCCGCCGAACGCCTTAGTTTACTCAAATATGCAAAGTAATTTACCGGCCACATTATTTATTTGATCATGCACTTCAGTAAATCGCGAGACTAAAATGGTCGGGCCGAAGGCCCGACCATCGCCGCCGGCAGGCCAAGCAGGCCCGGCCCCTGCCGAACGCCGGCGCAGCGAAGTGGAGCTGGCAACTCCGTTTGGCGGAAGGGCGGGCCTGCTTGTTGTCATTACCTCGCCGGTTCTTATGTAGAATGTTTTTGTTATAAGTAAAAGTTCTTCTTCAATACTTTAAATT